TTATGATAACTGTAACGCCGTGTTATGATAACTGTAACGCCGTATTATGATAACTGTAACGCCGCGTTATGATAACTATAACGCCGTATTATGATAACTGTAACGCCGTATTATGATAACTGTAACGCCGTATTATGATAACTGTAACGCCGCGTTATGATAACTATAACGCCGTATTATGATAACTGTAACGCCGCGCTATGATAACTATAACGCCGTGCATGTTATGATAAATGTAACGCCAACGTTATGAAGCTATGACATAATGGTTACAAAGTTGAAACTCTGGCTTTCTATCTACAACTGCTTCAACTCAAGCGCGTGCCGGGTGCTAGGAACTCACCACGTGCATGCCGGTGAGCACGTCGACCTCAACCTCAACACACGCTCCTCCCCAGATGGTGTATCCCTTGGGGAACTCTGACGTGTTGGGCCTGCGAGGAAGGAAAGCAAGCTTTAATTATCAAATAAGAAACAAGAATTCTGGAGCTATTGACAATAATAAGCGCGTCATATTTTGTCTGCTTAGAGTATCACACATGCAGTACAGACGCCGCAGCTCACCAATATCGTTCGCTGATGTCCACGTCGGCGAGGATGGCTTTCTTCACAAGCTCCGGCCACGTGATGGCGGGGTCCTGCGTCGCCTTGAAGGCGTCCAGACGCGCCTTGAGGCGTTCACAACACAGCTTCACGCCCTGTACGCAGAGAAGTGAGTCATGTACGCAGAGAAGTGAGTCACATGGTAAAAGTGATGAGTGAGTCACATACGCAGAGGTCTGAGTGAGTCACATACGCAGAGTTATAAGTGAGTCACATACGCAGAGATATGAGAGAGTCACGTACGCAGAGTTAAGAGAAAGTCACATACGCAGATTTAGAAAGGTAATATGGGCAGAGTTGTGAGTAGCTCATATACGCGCACACGTGTGGTTCGTCTCGAATTTTTGCTGAAGTGCTCAGTTTTGTTTTGTTCCATTTACGCGCATACGGAACGGATGATCGAACTCCTCAGATCCCTTAAAATCCCTTTCCATGAGTACTGCTGCTAGCTTTGGACCCCCGCGGTGGGAATAGTGGACGCGATCTAGCTAAAATTTTCGACTCTGATCAGCGGGACGCACAACACAAGCACACACCTCGACATTCTCTGCACAACCCAGTCCACCTTAACACTCTCTGCACAACACTACACTGCGTGTTGTAACGTACTTGGCAGACGAGATCAGAGCCGAACGAGCCCCCCGTGACGGTAGAGTTGGCGGTGGTCACGTTGCTCGTGGGCTTCACGATGAACTGCTGCATTGGCAGCCCCATAGTTGCCGCGGCCACCTGAACAGCCTGGTGGGGGAATTGTTTCTTTAGCGTGGAATAAGTGCAAGTATTTCTTTCTAGTGAGAGAGAGAGGTAGTGGAGGTACTTTTTCTCAGTGGAAAGGAAGTGTTAGAGGTATTCCTTTCGACAAATTATTAGTATATATGAGTATATACAATAAGAAGGCAACGCTCCTGTGGAGGAAGCTCGAAAAAACTTTTTAGAGCAGAGACTATTTCAGAAACAATTTTGTTAGCAACTGAATTAAAACGGTGCTTGTTTTACTTTTCGCTAACTAGGTTACTAAAATTACTAGCTCCATGCACACTAGCAAAAAGAAAGAGAAGTCACAATCTACAACAAAACTCATAACTACATGTATAAAAATTCTCTCCTTTAGCTTGTACTACCATGCCCATGATTAGATGCACTCAGACAAATGAATGGATCAAACTATCTAAATAGTAAACATTTTCTTGCCCACAGCAAGAGTAAACGTATAACAGAGAGTAAAAGTATCACCGATACGCCTTTTTGCCTTGTCAAACCGGATCAGGATGACCAACACTAGGGCAAAAGTGCATCACTATTTGCACAATGTCTCACGTAAATCTGTGGTTGTTTTGGGTCAGAGACCCAGGCCCTACCTTGCATTGCAATACCCGTGACTCTATGGGCACCAGACCCAGGCCCTACCTTGCATTGCAATACCCGTGACTCTATGGGCACCAGACACAGGCCATACCTTGCACTGCAATACCCGTGACTCTATGGGCACCAGACCCAGGCCCTACCTTGGTGTTCATGCCCTGGCCCATCTCAATGCCGCCGTGGCTGATGGCGATGGTGCCGTCCTGCTCGTAGATGGACACCAGGATGCCGTAGCGCAGGGGCGGGTAGTCGTATGGGTACTTCATGGGCGTCACCGCCAGGCCACGCTTGCGCCAACGGTTCTCCTGGGGATCGTCAAATATTCAATTCTTTGGTTTACCTTCATTTTTATATCAACAATCGGTTTAATGAATTTATTCCTTTGGAACGTTGATTATTTCAGGCAATATTAGAATTATGTCATAGATACGTGTCAAAAAATGTAAAAATATATTATGCCACGGTGTTTCAAAAGTGTACAAAAATTGTACTCGTAGGAATTTTGTTCAGTTTCAACTAATTTCACATGAGACCAGAAAGTTTTATTTAACTGGACAGCCGGAGGATAATTCCGAGAATCTCTCTTCAGGCGGTTGATAATATCACAGTTGACCGCAAAGGCATTACGAAGGGGATTAAAAATAGCCGCTTAAGAAGCTACCGGTATTGTTTCTAATAATTCAGAAACCAGAACAATCAAAATAACAGCCATGGACTCGGTCAAAACAAAGCTAAGATGGCTGCTAGTCTGTCTATCAAGGAACAATCCCAACTCACCCGGTTGAATTGCTCGACCTCCAGCTTGCGCTGCTCCAGCATTGCCTTCTCCTTTAGCACCGGCAGGATGGAGGTCTTGAAGACGTTCGGTCCTCCGTCGGCAGGCTGCTTCTCGTCCGCGATATTTAGGATGTTGATCTCCCGCACCTCCAGAGGATCCTTACCCAGCTCAGCAGCAACGTGATCCATGATGTTCTCTGCGAACGCGATGTACTCCACGTGCCCTATGGAAAGAATCTAACGTCACAAGAAGTTTTTACTCTACTTGTCCTGAAGACAGACTGATCGTCATCCGCTTCACTTTCAACCAAACCGATCTCTTTTCCCTGATCTTCCGCTGCTTCCCTTCCAACCAAACCGATCTCTCCTACCTGATCTTCCGCTGCTTCCCTTCCAACCTTCTCTCCTACCTGATCTTCCGCTGCTTCCCTTTCAACCTAACCGATCTCTTCTACCTGATCTTCCGCTGCTTCCCTTCCAACCTAACCGATCTCTTCCACTTGCTTGCCTTTTCGTCACTAATTCATATCTCTCCCTCTGCTTCTTGTAATCTATCGGAGTTGTTTTACATCATTCACAAGACACACGCCACTCGCTCAACCTGGCCATCATCCTACCACACCCACCAGGAGTGCGGCACCAGGTGTTGGCCGCCGTGTCCAGAATGGCGTTTTGGGGAGAAATGGTCCATGATGGACTGAAGTAGACGTTGGTGGCGATATTGCTGGCCATCACGGCCGTAGACTCATTTGGCACGTGGCCAACCCCTGAGTAGACCTCCATAGCCACGGCCTCCAGCCTCCCTGTGTCTGAGAATCCCACCTGAGAAGATAGGTCGTGAGGTTGTAAACGGGTATCGATATTATTCGATAACAATATGCGATTGCATGTAAACCAAATGTCGTTATTGATAAACGATTCAACAACATCTACGACTATCAGATATCTACGTTTAAAAAATAATTCAAATAAAATCAATGAAGTGGCATGTGATAAAGGCTGAATATATATCAGGATTATGCAGTTGGAATATAATCATAAATAATGTAGGTAAAGGCGTAGAAGAGAATACACGTGTAAGCGACGTGTAAATCGAGAATACAGACGGTCGGTAGTGACGTCATCCTTGCAGTGATAGATGGCTTCTGCAAAGTAATCTTTCGTCCCTTTTTATTAGGGATTTCAGCCCTTGATATGCAAAGGAAAGGAATTTAATTAAGGAGCTCCTTCATAGATTCTGCTCTCAGGACGTGGACACTTACAAAAATGCGAATGGTTTGTCAGTGCAATTACAGTTGAATGTCAGCATTGAAATACGAGCCCAATTTACCCGTAACTTTTAGCGGCTGAAAACGATTTAGATTTCAGTCACAATAGGAGGCGTAGAAGGATTCAGTACCTCGTAGGAGGCGTAGTAAGGCTCCCGCCAGCCGATGGAAGACATGTTAGTGCGCAGGTCCTGGAAGAGGCGCACGGGGCGGCGCAGCTTAGCGGCGGCGACCGCCACGGCGCAGGCGCTCAGATTGCAGCGCGACACCTTGTGGCCGAAGCCCCCGCCCAGGCGCCGCACGGTCAGGTTGAGGCTGGTGATGATGATGATGAGCGTTAGTAATGATTATGTAGAGCGAAGGTTCCCAGTAATGATGAGCTTTAATAATGATTATGAAGAGCGAAGGTTCCAAGTAATGATGAGCGTTTATAATGATTATGAAGAGCGAAGGTTCCCAGTAATGATGAGCGTTAATAATGATTATGTAGAGCGAAGGTTCCAAGTAATGATGAGCGTTAATAATGATTATGAAGAGCGAAGGTTCCCAGTAATGATGAACGTTAATAATGATTATGAAGAGCGAAGGTTCCCAGTATGATGAGCGTTTATAATGATTATGAAGAGCGAAGGTTCCCAGTCACGATAAGCGAACACGGCCGACAACAATAGTGGCTCGGTCAACAATCACCTCGCAGTCCCCCCATGCATGCACCTGCTGACCGAAGACCCAACCAATCATCTCTCAGTCCTCCACCTGTTGACCGGGTATCCAACCAATGACCTCTCATATGAGCCAATCAAAACCTCTCAGTCCTTCACCTGTTAACCTAGGACCCAACCAATCACCTCTTAGTCCCCCACTTTTTTGGACAGGTAGCCAACCAAACATCTCTCAGTCTTCACCTGTTAGACGGATGCCCATCCCATCACCACTCAGTCTCCCACCTGTTGACCGGGTAGCCAACCAATTATTTATTAGTCCCCCAACTGTTGGCAGGGGACCCAACCAATCACCTCTCAGTCCCCCAACTGTTTCCCCGGGGAACCAACCAATCACCTCAGTCACCCACCTGTTGTTGTGATTCCGCGGTCTCAATTTTGCAGGAGACCCCCCTCACCCACCTGTTGGCCGGGACGTTGAGCACCTCAGCGACCACCTTCTGCGTCTCTTGCATGAACTGCGTCGTGGCGATGACGTCATAACCGTCCTCCAGGGGCATCACCCGCGCCGTCATTAGCTCCATGGTGAAGTGGTACTGCGAGGGCACCTCCATCTTGCCCTTCACCCTATGCGACGCCTTCTCCATCAGCCCTTCGGTACGTAGGCATTACTCATCGTCAATGATATTCGTAACTGAAAGCCTAATTGCTGAATGACCTCCACTGGACAAAGAGATAACCTTTTTTCTATACGGATAAGCCAACCGTCGTCGATGCTACAAGTATCTCAATTAAAACCGGTTGACACTCGTGTGCTACAGTAGACAATGGGTTAACAAGAGGGTTACGGCAGAACCAGTTTGGGCCCCTAATGAGTGATACTAGACAAAGCCTTGCATGGTGAACAATGTTAGAACTTTGACTCCATACCAGCTATGCACCCTGCCCAATAAAATGAACAATAGTCAATGCTTAAATTGACGTCATGAATAAAGGGAGGGTTTAGCACCTTTACCATCCTGGTCCCCGAAGACGACAGACGAGGCAGGCTTGCCGTCCCACCCGATAGGGAGCTCGAGGCGGTCCTTCTTGATGGCCTCCTGGATGGACACGACAGGCTTCTTGATGTCCGAATACGTGACTTTGACGAGCTTTGTAGCGGCCTCTGCCGTGGCCCGATCCCGGGCCACAATAAGCCCGAGGGGCTGTCCGTGATAGAGGGTCCGGTCTACAGCGAACACCTACAGACATAAATATACTATATATCAGACTGAGGGGCTGCCCGTGGTAGAGAGTCTAACCAACGTTAGAAATTGACGAGAAACATTGTGTCAGATCACTGAAGTGAAGCAGTCCTAGTTAACGAATAGACGAAAATATTCGGAACGAAAATTCGAACGAATTTTCTTTGCATTTATCTCATAAAAGTTTCGAGCCTCGAGTTTAACTGGACAAAAGTCCAGTCTTAATAAAATATGTCACTGTTACTCTTAGTTATTATAATTTTACCTAATAACAATATAACATTATTACATGATTTACAGCTTAACAATGGTCATCACACTCACTGGGTCAGGCTTGACGGGACCGAACATATCCATGGCGAAGTAAGAGTTCTTCCCAGGAATGTCTGCCGCAGTCACGAAGTCCACCACACCAGGCACCGCCTGGCACACATCCAATGTCCATATTAAGATTATATATAATAATATGTTTATGTCAACTTTTGAGGAAGTATCCTCGGAAAAATCCCTGTAAGGATACTATAACGGTAGGATACATGTGGGCACTTGACTGAAAAAAATAGAAGTGTTCTTATAATGTTTGACGGTCGCCACAAGTTGACACGAGTGGAATAAGGTTGAAATAACCAGAAAATGGGTACTCATGTTGGAAATCGTAATATCATTTTTATTTAACCTTAAGCGTAATTAATGGACGAACTAATGATATTTCCATAGATATTCAGCCCTGTAATGGTATTCTTATAGATCTTCAGTCCGGGCCTACATAGTCCATAGTTTTAAAAACGCCTTCTATTTTTAAAGTGCGTCGTAAAACACTGCCTTCCAGCACTCATTTCAACTCTACCCTCACTTTAGCTAACGCATGGCTGCTGTCCCCATCACCTGCCCCACCAAATGTCCCATCACCAGCTCCCCACCCATCCCCCGCCCCTCAGTTCCCCAGTATCTGCCCCTCACCAGCTCCACCAGCAGTGGCCCCCTTCTCAAGTCCCCCCATCAACCACACCCTCATCCCAGCATGCGGCCCCACCACTTACCCCATCACCCGTCCTTCCCCAGTTCCCTATCAACCACCTCTCACCAGTTCCCCATCACCCTTCCCTCACGAGTTCCCCCATCACCCTTCCCTCATTAGTTCCCCATCACCCACCCCGTCTTGAGCCCCCATCCATGACCTCCCATCACCCTCACCAGAGCCTGGGTGGCGTCGACGCTGTCTATGGCGGCGCAGGCTTGCGTCGCCTGAACAAAATATGCGTGCAGTTCACCGGCCGCCAGGGGCACGTCATCCGCAAACTGAGCTTCCCCTGGAGATATAAAGTGGCATGACTATAAGCAAATATTGTAGAAATTAATACAATATTATAACATGACAATGTATATCCTAATACGATATTATATTGTACTAAAGTGATGTATATACTTAGATAGATATCATTCCAGTAGATGCGGGAGTACCATCATGATTGAAATTCCAGAATTTAGACAACCATAAATTTCAACAGAACCTATCTGTTTCAAATTTACCCCATTACCCCCGGTACGCAAAATTATAACATTGGTGTACATCACCGATGTACCCGAATTACTGAACATAAGAGTACTCCAAAGTCTCCCGACCCCAGCGTATTCTCGCCCAGCACCCCGACGTACGAGCCATGCAGGCAGTGCCCCGATACGCCAATGCACCCCAATAAACCCCCTCAGTACCCTGACGTACCCGCGACCTGCACAAGAGACTCGATCTTGGGCAGGGGCTGCCCGACGGGCCACGTGTCGGGGGTCTCGTCGAAACTCTGCTGCCCCGACGACAGCCCGCGCACGATCTTGTCTCCCGCCGAGCGCACGCGGGGGCTGCCTCCCACCACCCCCACCACCATCTGCGTCAAAAATTGCACAAATTCCAGGGGAATTATGACACTAATACTGTCTAATCCAAGGGGGTAGCATACGTAACAGGGAACTAACACCTACATGTCTACGCAAAGTAGGCCGCAAGTGAGGGCAAAACTAACCACACTACCGCCTACGCCAAGTAGATAAAAAGAGTTACATGGGCCTAACGTTTCCAAAGCTTGCGTGCGTTAATAAACAAGAGTTATAAATAACTAACACCTCCACAGTTTGCGTCATGCGGGAAAAATTCTCATGAAATTAGCACTTCCTCCTCCCTAGTCAAGTTGATAAAAGAGATGGTGGCTATATCAAAATCCTGTAAAAACCATCAGCTGCTCAGCGCATTCGATGAGGACATCTAGCCGACCATAATTCATCGGGAAGAAATAATCAGAGTCCAGGACTGAGACGTGTTACTGACCCAAAGATATGGTAAGACTTGAGCGAAACCCTGCCATTCCCCCACGATGAGATACTGATTTTGTCAATAAAGACAGGATACATCAACCTGTTAAAGGAGGTCCTGTTGATATGGGGTCAGGGGACAATACACAAAGGACATGAGGATGAAGCGTGGATGAATATCCCACCTTGTAGAAGAGGCACTGCACCAGGGAGCGCCTGTACTCCGGGGACCCTTGGTGGGGGTCTGGGTGAGGCGTGGCCTCCTCGGCCAAGAGGCGCGCGGCCTCCCGCACGACGCTGACGTCAGACAACCGCTTGCCGATGAGGTAGCGCTCCGTGTTGCTGGCTGACACCTGCGGCAGGAGGGAACACTTTAGTGCTGACACCTGCGGCAGGAGGGAATACTTTAGTGCTGACACCTGTGGCAGGAGGGAACACTTTAGTGCTGACACCTGTGGCAGGAGGGAACACTTTAGTGCTGACACCTGCGGCAGGAGGGAACACTTTAGTGCTGACACCTGCCTCTGCATTGAACATTCACGTGGTCTGAACCTCAGCTCCTAGGGGTGAGGTTGTCAGACCAGACTGTCTGCCTCCGTCAGCGCTGACTGAATGCTACGACCAGCCAAGGTGAATCAGTTGAGATACATTTCTTCAATATTATAAAATATATTGTAGCAAACAACAAGACCCACACAACAAGTCCCACACAACAAGTCCCACACAACAAGTCCCACTCAAGTCCCACACAACAACCCCCACACCCCACCACTCACGAAGTGTTCCCCCAGTCCCCCAAACAGGAGGCGGGGAGCCTCCTTCACAGTCAGGTCGTCCCCCAGCAGGAGGCGGAGGGCGGCGTTGACGTAGGCGTGGGCGTTGACGGCGCGCGGGGTGATCTTGTAGGAGCGCACGCGGGTGCCCGCGGGCAGCGGGGGCAGCAGCATCGCAACGATCACCTTCCCCCGCAGGTCCAGCTGGGGGACCTCCAGCACTGGGTGCTGCTCCGGCTGCTGCGTCGCCGCGTTCGCTGCCACCCGACGTTTTAGTTTTAATTATATTTTATAAATCCAATCAACGTTTCTAGTTGTAGTTATATTGTAGAAATCCACTCAAAGTTTTGATTTATTATTATATTTATATTTATTATTTTATTTATTTATTTATTTTATTTGTTATATTATTAAAGATATTCTAATATATGCCGCAATGATACTATCTTGGGATGCTGCTCCAAGCGTCGTTACGTTCGACTATTTATTTTATAGACTCACCCACGAGCATGTGACTCACCCACGAGCATGTGACTCACCCACGAGCATGTGACTCACCCACGAGCATGTGACTCACCCACGAGCATGTGACTCACCCACGAGATGTGACTCACCCACGAGCATGTGACTCACCCACGAGTGTGACTCACCCACGAGCATGTGACTCACCCACGAGCATGTGACTCACCCACGAGTGTGACTCACCAACGAGTATGTGACTCACTCACGAGCATGTGACTCACCCACGAGTGTGTGACTCACCCACGAGTGTGTGACTCACCCACGAGCATGACTCACCCACGAGCATGACTCACCCACGAGCATGACTCACCCACGAGCATGACTCACCCACGAGCATGACTCACCCACGAGCATGACTCACCCACGAGCATGACTCACCCACGAGCATGACTCACCCACGAGCATGACTCACCCACGAGCATGACTCACCCACGAGCATGACTCACCCACGAGCATGACTCACCCACGAGTGTGACTCACCCACGAGCATGACTCACCCACAAGTATGACTCACCCACGAGTATGACTCACCCACGAGTGTGACTCACCCACGAGCATGACTCACCCACGAGTATGACTCACCCACGAGTGTGACTCACCCACGAGTGTGACTCACCCACGAGTATGACTCACCCACGAGTGTGACTCACCCACGAGTATGACTCACCCACGAGTATGACTCACCCACGAGTGTGACTCACCCACGAGTATGACTCACCCACGAGTATGACTCACCCACGAGTATGACTCACCCACGAGTATGACTCACCCACGAGTATGACTCACCCACGAGTATGACTCACCCACGAGTATCTGGGCATCAATGGCGGCGAGGGTGAGGAACACGTCGGACGGGAAGTTCTTGTGTCGGTTCTTCATGGCGAGGTTGCCCGCCCACGACCCGTTCTGCAGGACCATTATCGTTGTAATTTAATCATTAATGAGAATTATAATTACCATTTATTTAATTTTCATTTAATTTCATTAATTTCAATCATTACTTGTAATTATAATTACCATTAATGATCATTAGGTAATGATCATTAGGTGATGATCATTAGGTGATGATCATTAGGTGATGATCATTAGGTGATGATCATTAGGTGATGATCATTAGGTAATGATCACTAGGTAATGATCACTACTAGGTAATGATCACTAGGTAATGATCACTAGGTAATGATCACTAGGTAATGATCACTAGGTTATGATCATTAGGTGATGATCATTAGGTAATGATCTTTACCTTTAATTCATTTATTATACCATACATATTGTTCACGATCGGATACGAGTTGGTGAATGAACTATAAAGCCTGGATCGGATGTCAAAGAATCGTTTTACATTATTTGCATGGTTTTATTTATTTCTTTATAAGGTTTAATATTATTTCTTTGTAAGGTTTAAGCTGACAGGGATGAAGCGAGGCTTTCATTTTGCCGCGTATAGTGATTATATTTCAGAAAACGAAATATTTTATCTACATAAAAAATTATACAACTGCAAGATTTTGTTGATCATATCAACATATAAATGCAATCGTGTCCGTTATTGTTTTAAGTTATTTACTTAATGATTTCATTACCAAGTTTGATGTCTTCGTAGTTTTTACCAAATATATCAATGGGATAATTTCTGTTTAGAATTTGCCTAAACACATTTCGTTGGACGTACGATTCAGATTTGACAATTTTCAGAATTATAGAACATATTGGAATATAATGGAATATAATGGAATATAAGGGAATATAAGTGAATATAATGGAATATCAAGGAATATAATGGAATATGGGAATATAATGGAATATAATGGAATATAATGGAATATAATGGAATATAATAGAATATAATGGAATATAATGGAATATAATGGAATATAATGGAATACAAGGGAATATAATGAAATATAATGTCATGACTCACGTTCCTGACGGCGAGGTTGGCCACGACCTGCCAGTGGTCGGCCATCTCCTTCAGGTGGCCGTAGCCCGCCACGGCCTTAGGGCCTTCACACACCGACCTGCCATCAGGTTACATCAAAATTTATTAGATTTTGAATAAATTTTTTGCAGGAATTTTTAGGAATTTCTCCTGTTCGCTAAATTAAAGTTAATTAAAGTTTTTTAAATTTAATTACTGACACCGACCTGGCCATTAGGTTCCAGCGTAATTTATTAGATTTAAAAAAATTTTTTTTGCAAGAATTTTTTGGAATTTTTCTTATACGTTAAATTATTATGAATATTTCGATAGATTTTAAAAAATTTTGCTTGCACGGCAAAATATTATTGGAATGTCAATAGATTTTAGAGCAATTCCTGACCAATTTAGAGCAAGTGTAGGTGGACAAAAATATAAGGTTGATTAAATTTACTATAGAAATTTAATTTTATCAATTTAATTTTGAATATCAATCTTAGTTTTTTATCAATCTAACTTCGGATAAAAAGTGTGGTCAATAAAATCTTCATATTAAACCTTCACTGTATACACTGTATTATCATACACTTAATTGGCATATAGTTCATTTATCACACTAATTTACTACAATCAACTCTATTAATTTCCCTATTAATTAATAATAATAGTAACTATTCATTACACTAAGACACAATAATCCTATTCAACATCTCCTCTTTCAACTCTCTGGTTTCTCATAGCATAAACTACACATTTAGTCAATGAAACAAACGTCTTCACTCCATTCTCAATAGTAAACAAAATATACTCATATATACTCATGCAAATGAAAATATATCTCCGTTCCATCCTCAATAAACAAACGACATTCTTTACTCTATTAAAAAGAGTATAAAGCTACTCACCTGAAGACATTTTTCACTCCATCCTCAATAAACAAAATATACTCATCAGTCAACTAAAATCATGTCTCCACTCAATCCTCAATGAACAAACAATACTCTTTACTCTATAAAAATTATATAAAGCTCCTGACCTGAAGACATCACAATGAAAATAATATACTCTTTACTCATTTAAAAATGATATAAAGATACCTGAAGACATCACAATGAAAAAATATATTCTTTGCTCTATTAAAAAGAGTATAAAGAGACCTGAAGACATCGATGCACTGGTTGAGGGAGAGCCGCGCCCCCAGTTTGATGGGAGACTCTGCTATGTTGACCTGCTGCATCTCCGGCACCTGCGCTAGACTGATGAACATCGTGTACGGTCCGTCGTTCTTGAACACGCCTAGTTGCCGGGTGTAAATTATAATTTCTTTTATAGTGATAATAATATATAAAAATTATCCTAAAGTATGTCAAACACACTTGGTCTCCATGCACATATTTTATTTGTAATATAAAAATGTAAGTAAAAACAAATGAATCTAAGTACTGTGTGAGATGCCTGGGGACCGAGCGTATATTACAATTTATAATATACTTATTGTAAACATTTATGATTAAAAAAACGCGTCTGAACAGAATGATCAACTAAAGTCCCTTAAGACGAGAAGATGCACAGAATTAAGCGAATTACGTTCACAATGGATATTCACAATTACAGATACTGTGTTAAATTAACCTTAAAGAATTAGACTTGTTGTGGTTCGAAGAAAGAAAAAGGAGCGAATATGACTAGCATTAATTCTAATATACCTTTTCTTGATTATTATTGTTCTCTTATATTAGTCATCCTGATGTATATTAGATCAAAAAATATAACTCAGTACTCACTGCAGTGAGTGACAGAGAGCGCATTTTCTCGTCGACGAAAACTTGAGGTCACGGACGGACGGACAGACGGACAGACAGACAGACGGACAGA